CTGATGATTTATGACTACTGTACCACTTGACTGATGATTTATGACTACTGTACCGCTTGACTGATGAGTTATGACTACTGTACCACTTGACTGATGATTTATGACTGCTGTACCACTTGACTGGTAATTTATGACTACTGTAGAGATTGACTGATGATTTATGACTACTGTCCCGCTTGACTGATGATTTATGACTCCTGTAACGCTTGACTGATGAGTTATGACTACTGTACCGCTTGACTGATGATTTATGACTACTGTACCGCTTGACTGATGTTTTATGACTACTGTACCACTTGACTGGTGATTTATGACTACTCTAGAGATTGACTGATGATTTATGACTACTGTACCGCTTGACTGATGATTTATGACTACTGTACCACTTGACTGATGATTTATGACTACTGTACCGCTTGACTGATGATTTATGACTACTGTAGAGATTGACTGATGATTTATGACTACTGTACCGCTTGACTAATGATTTATGACTACTATAGCGCTTGACTGATGAGTTATGACTACTGTAGAGATTGACTGATGATTTACGACTACTGTACCACTAGACTGATGATTTTTGACTACTGTACCACTTGACTGATGAGTTATGACTACTGTACCACTTGACTGATGATTTATGACTACTGTACCACTTGACTGATGATATATGACTACTGTAGAGATTGACTGATGATTTATGACTACTCTACCACTTGACTGATGATTTATGACTACTGTACCACTTGACTGATGATTTATGACTACTGTAGAGATTGACTGATGATTTATGACTACTGTACCACTTGACTGATGTTTTATGACTACTATAGCGCTTGACTGATGATTTTGGTTTACTGTTGTATTATAAGCAGATAGCGAGATAGACGATGCACCTGCTTGTACCATGGATATGGCCTCTGATGACCAAAGCGATTTGCATATGGTAGGGTCAGAAATGACGACCGGGGAGTCATACTCTGCTAGAGAAGTCACATCGCCAAATGCAGAAGGAGGCGACACGCCATTGGGTGAGATCAACATTTCTTGCCTCTTTTTTTCATGTCCTCGTTTCTGATGAAAGGCTCGTTTTGTAATATGTTTTTCACTCCGATCCGTCTGGCAGCTTGACAGACCTACTATTAGCTCAACGAATGGTTATCATGAATACAGCCATGATTACACCGCAAGGGTATCAGATTGATGAGATATTTGTTATGTGTTGGCAGATTTGCAAAAAAAAAAGGATTATAACGAATCTCGAGGGACCACAACCATTACGTTGCTTTAATACAATATTTTGGTGCCTTCACGTGTTGTCATGTTATGACAGGTATTTCACATTAGTGATTATATTGCAATCACTTGAGATATCTAATACCTGGTTGGGACCTCAAACTGATGACATGAACAATTAATCCTATATTTTGATACTTAACGTAGTGATGATGTCATAGATTTTCCAATGCAGATGTATTATGCAAAAAATCACAAAAACATACATTGCTGTTCATATAATAAATAATGAAATCGTTGCAGGTTGTGTTTTGTAATTTACCTTGTTCAAAACTTACCATGTCACATGTCTCTTATTACACTGTTGATTTATTACATTTCATAATGCTGTCTTTGTCATTCGCCACTTTTCCCATCCTCCTCCTCAGCTGCACCCTGTCGTCATTTCTCATGTGTAAAAGAGCCCTACGAGCATTTTATGTTCTATCTGATTTGCTGAGAAGCGTAGCGTTAAAAAATTGAGCAGTTTCGTACGGTTCAGTTATATGTAGTGACGATTAAAGTGTCCTGTGCCGCTTTAAAGATTGTATTCCTATTCATATGTAGCTTATATTTGGTATACGCATTTATTTGCGACACAATCCACTTAATTGAAATAATAATTCTCTTCTTTAACACTTTGTAACCAATAACTCATTATCTATATTGTTTTGTTGTCCATAGGTTATCGGTCACTCGTAAACAACCCAGCACTCGAAAGATCCGTAGAGGAGGCCCGAAAGCAGTACATGATTCTGAAACAGAAAGGTATGAATCGGTAGGATTAGGAAACGCTACACGATATAACAAAGTGCAAACGTGAACATTACATAGAGAAAGGGTCTATAGAAAATGTATGATATACATGGAACACAACACGATAAATAGCGTCCGTAATTAGTACAATCAGTGATTGGGTCCGTTATTAGTACATTAAGTATTTAGATACGTAAATCAATATATTAAGTGATTGGGTACGTAATCAGTACATTAAGTGATTGGGTACGTAATCAGTACATTAATTGATGGGTACATAATCATGATTTGAGTGATCGGATACGTTATCACTTTATTAAGTAATGAATAAGCGTCAAGTTTTTTTTTAGAAATGTATAACATTAATGGTGTCAGTTCTCATGTACTGCTGGGCATAGTGTTTCGATATTAAAGAAGAGTGTACACCTGCTTGGTTAATTATATCTATGTCAGACAGTACATTATGTGTTTCAACGTGTATGTCGGTAAAGTCAAATTATATATATCAACAATATACATGGAACCAATTTTTTCGGGACTTAAAAACTCAAGTGAGATATTATAAGTTATCCTTAACATTAAAAATTGGTGAAGTAACACTCAGAGGTTAAGAAATCTGTTTGAGGACCGCAAAATCAAGTCAGGTATTGCACCGTGTCCTGAACATTAGAGTCAGGTTAGAAAAGCAGTCTGTCACTGCCTGCCCGGAGCCTGCGCTACCTTCCAGTGCCCTTGTGATATGGATACATACAGAAACACGATTTTTCTCTCATTTGATATGAAAAGAGCTTTTGTTGATCTCTCATACTTACTGATTCAGAATACTGTTTTCAGAATGAAATAAGATAACTTTATTCAAAGTCGGCTAATGGAGGAAAAACAATAAAACAAATATAAGCTCTAATGAATTAAGACCCACACAACAATAGGGGAGAACAGCCCATTTTTTATTAAAGTCAGTTCTGGAAAGTATGGCAGCACGTCCGTTTTTGAACATTATTCAATTTTCCCTGTCGGAAGATCGAACGGCCGAACGAGCCCTGCCATTGGATAAGTTTGGACAGGCATTCGAGTAAAATTATGACGTCATAAAGCATGCAACGTTAGATTTTACCGCCAATTTTACGACTTTATATGTGTTACATGTGTCATACTTTCCACGGTATCGTTAGCCAAACCTGTCCGGGCCCAAATTGATATTTCAATAAACTCTAATCGTACAGCAATATGGTAGTAAGTGCTTGGCTTGGCTTTTATTTATAGCATTTGAAGCTGTCAGTGTATTACACGTTTGACAGTAAAAAAGTAGCAATTCCGTTTACAGAAAGTTTACATAACTAGAAGCGAGATCATGGTTTTCTTTCTACCCTCTCAAAAGTAATTTTCTTCTGTTTAGAAATTTTACATGAGAGTTTTCCTCACCATTTTTTCTTGTGAATGCCCAGCCAACTAAACTGCTAAGATCGTTACAGTTGTAAATATAAGCTCAAAAACAAAAATATCAGGGGTGGCCGAACTTGCCCCGGTCTCCTGTATGTAGTTTTTTTTGTATCATTGATGATTGGTAAACATGTATTCACAAAAAAAAAATTGCATCAATGACGCCATTTTCTTCCAGTCAAAGCTTCAGTCGATATTTTTATTTTATTTTTGTGCGTAACGTATATGATTGGTCGGGTGGCGCAGTGGATAGTGCGCTCGTCTTCACCAAGGTAGCCGGATTTAATCACGGTTACCTGCCCGACCACACAGGTTTCCTCCGGATTCTCCATCTTCCTCCCACACTGAGAATTAAATTCTCTGCGTGCTTTCGTCAGGGCACAAAAAAATGATTGATATAAGTTGGGAAAAAAAGCTATAGAAAAAAGTACATATTACATATTTTGTGAAAAAAATAATACGTTGCTGAAAAGGGCGTTGAAGTCGGGTTGACTGTCTGGACAATTATTGTTGATTTCGACATAATTGAACTATCCATTGTTTCTGTTATGAGTGTTAATGCATACATAAATTATGTAAAGACTATAACCAGACTTTCAAAAATGTTAATTATTTCGTTCATATTCTCAACAAATGGATATCAAAAGCTGATAAAATTTTAGACGATGCAAATTAAATGTACACGTTGACCTGTTGGTTTAATGCCGGCTCTTTTTGAAGATATCTCCCGGTAGAAATATTAACAGAACCTGGTTGATGACAAAAAGGATCTTCAGAAAATATCCGCATTTTAACTTTTTGTGCCTATGGCAAAACTGAAATAAAAAAAAAAGTCATGAAGCACCGACAGATAGATAAATGCAACGGACATCAGTTCCTTGATTTCCTGGTGATTTTCATCCTTCCGGAAGTAACCGATGGAAGCCGATGGAGTGTGAGGTGTTTGTGATGTCTTAGCATGATTATATCTCTCAACGAAGTTTCATGGCTACTAGTATCATAATTTATATGATAGATTTGTTTTCACTCAGAATGTATATTAATTTTTATCTAAACTAACTAGTAAACAAGAGGACTGTTTCATTATATGAAGATGTTCAGGTATGGGTTGAAACACAATTGTTTTTGCTTCAAGGATACACTTCCGGTTTCACCACTGGACGTCGACTTCCCGTCCAACAAAATTAAAGGCAATGTGTAGAATTCAGCTTTTTTAGTTTCGTATTTTTTGTTCCTAATGGAAAACATGAGTTTCCGAAGGCGTTATGGTACTTTACATGAAGGATGATTACTTTCTCCGATTCCCTGCTGCAGTTCATGTATTACGCTTTTATTGAAGAAAATGCGGAGTCAAACAGGTAAAAGTGTTTATAATTATATATATTAAAGTGAAAGCATTTGGTTATTGAGGATATTCTCATATTTTGATGCATTTATTTGAAAACAAAAGTAAAACACTAATTTATTATCACAGACAGGTATTACACATGTATTTTTATCACAGACAGGTATTACACTTGTATTTAGTATCCCTTACAGGTATTATACTTGTATTTTATATCACAGACACATATTACACTTTTATTTAATATGTTTTACGGCACGACCGTTAGTGAGGGCGGAGCCAGGCTGTAAATGTATCGGACTATCGGTACTGCACTCTTTCAAGCATTGAGTGATATATTAACTTATTAAATCAGACCTTCATGTATATAGCTAAACAGTGTATATTACAATTAAGTCTCCTTTCTTGATTGTAGTGTACTATAGCAGTGGCTATACACACAGTAGGGGCCATAAAGCCCCCTCCAAAAAAGAAAAAAAAAATATAATTCTTAAAATACATATAGTGTATATAATGCATTTGTTTTAAGTTATTATGATTATATCAAATTTTTTTAACTTGAAAACCTCCGGATTCATTTTTTCTTGACTTTGAATTTGATGGAAAACTGGAAAAACTTGTATAGCTAGGTCTCTTGAAAATTGTCGCTGAATCAGAATGAAATGCCTGTTAACATATTGAAAGATCGATAAAGGCAGGATGAAGGTAGGATGCAGACAGGATGAAAGCAATTTGTATGATTAGAGAGTTTCAATTGCTACAGGAAACCAATTGAGTAAACTGCATTTGTACATTTACATAAAAAAAGGTTATCATCAACAAGTTCAAACACAAAATTAACATGCTTCCTTTCCAGGTTGTTCTTGTTGTTATAACATGTATAAGTATTTGATATATGTATCTCCACAAAAATTGACAAAATGATAGGATATTTAGCTCAATTCATGATGAAATAAATATACATATGGAATTATATCTAAAATTTATACAAAATAACCCAAGAATGTTTTTTGACCAAGATTGGTTAAAAATTGTCTTAAGTTCTTGAGAATTTCAAACATGTTAAAAGTTTATTACTAACACAAAAATAAAGAAATGGGTGACAAACTTTGAGCAGGAAGTTCCCTGGCTCAGTTGAGTTAAAACGTGCATTTAGAGACTGGCATGTCACTCACCGCACTTATATATATACACACCCACCGCACTTATATATATACACACTCACCGCACTTATATATAAACACCCACCGCACTTATATATATACACACTCACCGCACTTATACATATACAGACACATCACACGTATATATATATACACACCCACCGCACTTATATATATACACACTCACCCCACTTATATATATATATACACCCACCACACTTATATATATACACACACCCACCGCACTTATATATATACACACTAACCGCACTTATATATATACACTCACCGCACTTATATATATACACACTCGCCGCACTTACATATATATATATACACTCCCACCGCACTTATATATATACACACTCACCGCACTTATATATATACACACCCACCGCACTTATATATATTCACATCCACCGCCCTTATATATACACACCCATCGCACTTATATATATACACACCCATCGCACTTATATATAAACACCCCCACCGCACTTATATATATATACACTCACCGCACTTATAATATATATATACACTTACCGCACTTATATATAAACACACCCACCGCACTGATATATATTCACATCCACCGCACTTACATATATACACACTCACAGCACTTATATATATATACACACCAATCGCACTTATATATAATATATATACACACTCTCCGCACTTATATATACACACTCCCCGCACTTATATATATATACCCCCCCCGCACTTATATATAAACACACCCACCGCACTTATATATATATATACACACTCACCGCATTTATATATATATACACCCACCGCACTTATATATATATACACTTACCGCACTTATATATATATACACCCACCACACTTATATATACACCGACCGCACTTATATATATACACACTCACCGCACTTATATATATATATACACACCCACCGCACTTATATATATTCACATCCACCGCCCTTATATATACACCCCCATCGCACTTATAAATATACACACCCATCGCACTTTTATATATACACCCCCACCGCACTTATATATATATACACTCACCGCACTACACCCATCGCACTTATATATATACACATCCACCGCACTTATATATATACACACTCACCGCACTTATATATATACACACCCATCGCACTTATATATATATACACACCCACCGCACTTATATATATTCACATCCACCGCACTTATATATACACACCCATCGCACTTATAAATATACACACCCATCGCACTTTTATATATACACCCCCACCGCACTTATATATATATACACTCACCGCACTTATATATATACACACTCACCGCATTTATATATATACACTCACCGCACTTATATATATACACACTCGCGCACTTATATATATACACACTCACCGCACTTATATATATATATACACACCCACCGCACTTATATATATATACACACTCACTGCACTTATATATATATATACACCCACCACACTTATATATATACACACCCATCGCACTTATATATACACACACATCGCACTTATATATATACACATCCACCGCACTTATATATATACACACTCACCGCATTTATATATATACACACCCACCGCACTTTTATATATACACCCCCACCGCACTTATATATATATACACTCCCCGCACTTATATATATACACACTCACCGCACTTATATATATACACTCACCGCACTTATATATATACACACTCACTGCACTTATATATATATACACCCACCACACTTATATATATACACACCCATTGCATTTATATATATACACACCCATCGCACTTATATATATACACATCCACCGCACTTATATATATACACACCCACCGCACTTATATATATACACACTCACCGCACTTATATATATACACACTCACCACACTTATATATATATATACACACCCACCGCACTTTTATATATACACACTCACCGCACTTATATATATATACACCCACCACGCTTATATATATACACACACCCACCGCACTTATATATATACACACTCACCACACTTATATATATATACACACCCACCGCACTTTTATATATATATACACACCCACCGCACTTATATATTCACATCCACCGCACTTATATATATACACACCCACCGCACTTATATATATTCACATCCACCGCACTTATATATATACACCCCCACCGCACTTATATATATACACACCCACCGCACTTATATATATTCACATCCACAGCACTTATATATACACACCCATCGCACTTATATATATACGCACCCATCGCACTTGTATATATCACACCCACCGCACTTATATATATACACACTCACCGCACTTATATATATTCACATCCACCGCACTTATATATACACACCCATCGCACTTATATATATACACACCCATCGCACTTGTATATATCACACCCACCGCACTTATATATATATACACTCACCGCACTTATATATATACACACTCACTGCACGTATATGTCACTAGCAATGGACAAACACATGAAATAATACAATTTATTTGGCAGCACATCATTAGAATGGACTCCATCATACACATTTTTGCATGATGTCTTCATATATTTTTATGTATTGTCTTTTTCTACCACGTTTCTTTGTGGAACATAATAAAAGGTCACGATCCCACCTCACAGGTGTGGTAAAAGCAAGTAATGCAGAGTTACTAGTTTTCAAATCTTCCTCTAGGTGTTTTTGCTGTAGTTGTCATTCCTCTTTGGAATACATAACATACTGTAGTTTTCGTTTCAATGTATTGAAATCAAGATTTTTTCAAGAGAAACAGATGGAATACATGTGATTTTCAAAAAAACATTTTCAAGTGACTGAAAATAATTTGAAATATCTTTAAATTCAGAAATGATAAACTCCATTTACCGTGGATCTAACATGCTCTATCTCAGTTCCACCGGAATGAGTAATTGTATTTGTTAAATTACAAATGCCTGCAGCAAGGACAATCCAAAATCTGCGCAGTTTATCAGAATATGTGATGTTGTCGCTTTATTGGCTGACAATATGTTTGATATTTTGAAGTTTTCCCGCCTAGGCGTATGATGACGTGACATTTATGTGAGAATACGAAAGGTTTATTAGACTCTAAATAAGTATTTAATTTTTCACTTCTTGAATCCATTTTGAATTTATGAATAGTATTTTACAATATTTGTGCTTTTTATGTGTAAACATTCGAAATTTTGATACCTACAGTTAATTAATTAAGTAGAAGTCTATCATGTTTATCTGTTTGTGGAAATTATAAGATTATAAAAAAGGTCCATGTGTTACACAACATCTATGGGTTTGCGATCGACATATCACCCAACAATACAGTGAAATAATGTGTACAGGGATGCATGTTAATCTTCTCTCCATGAGGAATTTAAACATATATGAAACATATTGAAAAATGTATCCAAATATACTATGTACTACAGTGCTAAAGACAGTGGAATAGGCAAGGATGAAATAGTAGATCATTAAGTAGTCATCAATTAAATAGTTCTTAAAACACTTGATGTACATCTGTATGTTCAGTTTGAAATGACATCCCAAGATAATTTATTTGAAACATCGTACAATTCACATGATTTTTATATGATGCATTTTAGATTTGTGCATCAAAAGGGGATTGAATTTGTGTAAGTTTATGGTAATGTACATGTCCGTATGTCACCCAAAACTTGGGGTTAGCGATTGACATATCACCCACCACTAGAGTTGATGTGCAACAAACTAATACAGTTGTATATCAAAAATGAAATTGTTATCCATGGATTCAATTTTTTCTTCTATGTTTTTTTCGTGCAAAATATCAAAAAATAGAATGCCTAAATTCTTATAAAAATACCTGTATGGTTTTTTTTTTAATCCTATCATTTGGCGTCACTGTGATAAACCTGATAATGTGATTAACTCCCTTTTTGTTGACAACCAGCACGTTGTTTTGTTGATATTCCGTTTTCTAAATATATACCACTGCAGACGACTCAATAATTTTTCGAACAATCAAATCAATGGTAATTTGTTTATTCAGAACTAGAGCAATGTAGCCGGTTTGTCAAGAGAATTTACATCTTTAACAGGAAAGTATCAAATATTTAAGTATCCTATAGTCAGATATAAGTTTCAAACCTTACAAAAATGTAACGTTTGTTCGAGAACTTGTTTCGAGGTCAAGAGTGTAGTCTCGTTCAACAAGACTCTTGTTGTCTACGCAAGCTACGCCGAACAGGTGATCAAGCGACTGGTTGAACGAGACTATCAAGATGACAGATACTACAGCGCGTGCGACTGGCGGCCATGTTAAGACAAGTATTTCAGTTCCATAGGTATTGTGAATGATCTTTATTTTTCTACAAACTTGTTACCTATAGGGATAGCTACGCTCTCACGGGCCCCTCTATTATCACAGACAGGTATTACACCTGTTTCGCGATCGGCCGGGAGTGCTCGCTATTAAGTTGTATCACTTGGACTTCCCCGTCGAACATCATGATTACTAATCATTGGAAAAAAGTGTTTCCCTGCAATAAGAGCACAATACATGTATAGTGAACATAGAGTTATTATTCAAATTATATAGGCACACTACAATTTGTGTATAATGTCTTATTGTTTGTTAAAGATAATGACTAAAAGGTAGCTGGTTAATTTTACTATTAAATGTACATGGAATCATGAAAGAAGCGAAGGTAAGTAAAATGTGACAAAGGATGAACCTTGTTAGTTCGTTTAAAATCAAAATGAAACGTTTACATACATGTATATAGAGGTACAAACTATACCATAGCAAACACAAGGTCTTTGTTCCTTACATTAAACATACATGTAACATCTGTGTAATGTATAAGCACAGGTACAGACCTATTGATAATCGTTAATGATATTTTCATTTTATTTCAAAATAGCTAAGGATAAACTTGACTCCATTAGAATGCCAAAACCATGCGATGACACACAACTGATGTCACCAAAACATGTACCATTAGATCATCCAACCTTTGGTTCGACTTCTGGAACATACGAGCACCAATCTGGCAAGGTTAGGGAGTCCACCAAGGAGTTAGAGGGGCTACAGATGGACGGTAATATAAACAATATGTATTCAATCACAAAAATAATAATAACAAGTAATTAATTCGACTATAAAGATAGATGACACATACCATGTTGAGATATAAAACTGATTGTTTTTAATGAGATGAAACGAGTACTTCAAATCATGTCAAGCAATTAACAAAGACACACTTTTGAGACATACAACGATATTTCTATTTTTCTTCTTCAAGCAGCTACCAGCTGGCATCTCTTTCAAGGAAAATATAAAAGCCTCATCAGAACGCCTTGTTTCCCTATTACACAAGACAGACAGCATTGTTTACCTGTCGTAGATGCATTGTGTGTTACCATATGTCTCTGTCGTTAAACCAAAAACTGTAATTTTGATTACGAGTATCATCAAATGAATGTCGTACACTATGCTGGGAATACATTCTGTCTGCATGAGGAAAATGTCTGTGCAATAAACGAGAAAGGCTTGGATGTTTCTATGCAAAACAAAAATAGTCATAGAATACATAGAGATGATTACATTGTAAAATCCATATCACATGCCATATCAGCACGAGGACCCAATATCAGACCGATGGCTTTAGCCCGAGGTCTGATATTGGTCGAGGGCTGATATGGCATGAGATATGGATTTTACCATGTTTTATTCTGTTTATCATATACGTGAACATAAATATTGGGCGATCATTTTTTTTTAATTATCAATTACGAACTTCAATTTCAAGCAATTTTTCACCAAAGACCATCGATAGAAAATGTAAATTAGAAAAAAAAAGTGGAATAAATGCCAATTTTAGTGTGTCGGTTGGGAAATCGCACAGAAACAATACAATACAAATTGTAACTTTGGTGATCAACACATTTTAATGAAATGAAAACACAATTGCAACAATAGAAATATGAATAACTGTCTGTTTACGTTAATCTTGGTGTCCGATAATATGGCCTATGTCCATTTTATGATTCTGTCACATGTCCATCTGATCAGCTTCACTTATGGTCTGATACTCTATATGACAAATTAATTTAATCAGAATTAGAATCATAAATAACGCGAATGCGTTTTCTTGTATTGCTATTACCATAGTTAAACACCACATCACCATTACTGGTCTTCTTTTGGGCAGAATAGGAGCAATACGTGTTCGATATCATTTAAAATTGACTCTACCAATTCCTGAGATGATCGATCCGCATGTCATCTAGATTACTAGGTACGGAGGCCGCCATTGTCGATTTCGAGCTGGAGTAGCTACACAATATAGAAGACATATGTTGACCTCATTGACAGTTTCTGTTAAAACGACATTCTCTGCTTCGTCGTGTTCCTTCGCCATGTTTTGTTTGTCAATAAGATCGTCCAACTCCATTATCCTCTTTACCAACGAGTTGAAAATCATCTCACCTTGAGGCGAACGCGACATATTTTCATAGAATCTCGTCTGCTGCACACGCATAGAAACGGCACGATAACTCCAGATGTGTTCCGGACAGAAAAGTCACGAGGTGTTCCGAAAATCCTGATATGCATTTTCCGACCGGCCGGTCTGATATTGGTCACGTGATTTTAGTCGTATCATATAGGGCGGAAAATGCAAATTTAGTAGTAAGTATGTGATACACTACTTAAAACTCTATTTAAATAGCCTAAAAATGAATATGTCCAAATTATAACATTACAATGTAGCTAAAAACATATCAATCAATATAAAAGCCGTAACTGTTTGATTAGATAACTTTAACTATAAACACCAATCAATATAAAAGCCGTAACTGTTTGATTAGATAACCTTAAATATAAACACCAATCAATATAAAAGCCGTAACTGTTCGATTAGATAACCTTAACTATAAACACCAATTAATATAAAAGCCGTAACTGTTTGATTAGATAACCCTAACTATAAACACCAATCAATATAAAAGCCGTAACTGTTTGATTAGATTACCTTAACTATAAACACCAATCAATATAAAAGCCGTAACTGTTTGATTAGATAACCCTAACTATAAACACCAATCAATATAAAAGCCGTAACTGTTTGATTAGATAACCCTAACTATAAACACCAATCAATATAAAAGCCGTAACTGTTTGATTAGATAACCCTAACTATAAACACCAATCAATATAAAAGCCGTAACTGTTTGATTAGATAACCCTAACTATAAACACCAATCAATATAAAAGCCGTAACTGTTTGATTAGATAACCCTAACTATAAACACCAATCAATATAAAAGCCGTAACTGTTTGATTAGATAACCCTAACTATAAACACCAATCAATATAAAAGCCGTAACTGTTTGATTAGATAACCCTAACTATAAACACCAATCAATATAAAAGCCGTAACTGTTTGATTAGATAACCCTAACTATAAACACCAATCAATATAAAAGCCGTAACTGTTTGATTAGATAACCCTAACTATAAACACCAATCAATATAAAAGCCGTAACTGTTTGATTAGATAACCTTAACTATAAACACCAATCAATATAAAAGCCGTAACTGTTTGATTAGATAACCTTAACTTAAACACCAATCAATAAAAAAGCCGTAACTGTTTCTATGTTATACCTTTAATTTTAAACTTGCGGCGTGTGCCATTAATGCATTTATATTTTGGAATATATTTATTATAATATTATTCAAAATAGGAACTTCGACGTCCTGTAAAAAATAGGTACTAAATCTTTTGCTCAGTATATATGGAGAACCCTTTCTACCACAATACGCTGTGTATGAGTTATATACCACACGTGGTATATGACCTACACGAGTTTGGATTGGTCGATAAGATGAACTTTGACCGGGACGACTTTTTCCACGCGCTTTTTGCCACAATCTGTTTTTTTACGTTGTCTGCTGTGAACATTCGACAAATGTTGGTGACTTTGTGTGGTTATACGGAAAAGGGGGTTATTAAGGCAATATTAAAAGAAGATGATACTTAAAGATTTGATCGCTAGTTTCAGGAAAAAATTGCTGCAGACCCTCAATATCGTTTCGACGTCACACCGTCGCGTGTCCAGGTCATGAAACCAAAACAAGATCTGTTCACTGTGTCGGAAAACATTTCGTTTTCCCAACGTCCCGTTATCGCTATTTGGACGGTCTGACTATGGCTGAACTGTCACTATAAACGTCAACCACAGAACCGTCACTAAGAAACGTAGGCCTATGGTTTTGGACATTAACAGCGATAAGTTCGTCTTCGTCACTTGGCGGGAGGCAGACTTCGTACGATATGCTTACGCGCATATAGTCCGTGGTTAATTTATATAAATTAATGCAATACTGCTACTCCCAATATCTGAAGTCGTTCATCTATTATATTTTTTCATGAAGTCGTTGCCGAAACATTAATTTTGACAATTATTAGATTTTTTTTAAAAATGCCATTTTTTAATATTAATGGCTGACTTTTTACATATCGGTCATATCACTACGCCAGCCTTGTCAACAAACACATGTGCGTTTGTTGTTTCCGACTGATCATGAGGTTGTGGTAGAAACAGATCACACGACTCGTGGTTGTGGAGTATGGTATTTATTTCACTCTCGTTAGTTAATTTTCAAAAGCTCGTGTCTTTTGTAACTTTTGAAAATTAACTAACTCGAGTGAAATAAATACCATATTCAACAACCACTCGTTGTGTAACCTCTATTTCTCTTAACACTGAGTTGATCAAATATGGGTTTTAAGCTAAAGGTCCTGATTTATGATTAAATACTGTTGGAACATGCCATTATATTTTGGTAAACAATTTTTCGTTTGGTTATTTAAGGAGATATTCTACATAAAACTGTACATGATATCTGGTTATGCTTATTAGGATGATCCTACGAGGACAACACTGGTCGTGACATGTGATGATCCTACGAGGACAGCACATGTATCGTGACAGGTGATGATCCTACGAGGAGAACACTGATCGTGACATGTGATGATCCTAAGAGGACAGCACTGATCGTGACATGTGATGATTCTACGAGGACAACACTTATCGTGACAGGTGATGATCCTACGTGGACAACACTGATCGTGACAGGTGATAATCCTGCGAGGACAACGCTGATCGTGACAGGGGAGGATCCTACGAGGACAGCACTGATTGTGTCATGTGATGATCCTACGAGGACAACGCTGATCATGACAGGTGATGATCCTATGAGGACAACACTGCTCGTGACAGGTGATGATCCTACGTGGACAACACTGATCGTGACAGGTGATGATCCTATGAGGACAACACTGATCGTGACAGGGGATAATCCTACGAGGACAACGCTGATCATGACAGGTGATGATCCTTTGAGGACAACACTGATCGTGACAGGGGATGATCCTACGAGGACAACACTGGTCGTGACATGTGATGATCCTACGAGGCCAACACTGATCGTGACATGTGATGATTCTACGAGGACAACACTGATCGTGACATGAGATGATCCTACGAGGACAACACTAATCGTGATATGCGATGATCCTACGAGGACAACGCTGATCGTGACAGGGGAGGATCCTACGAGGACAGCACTGATTGTGTCATGTGATGATCCTACGAGGACAGCACATGTATCGTGACAGGTGATGATCCTACGAGGACAACACTGATCGTGACAGGTGATAATCCTACGAGGACAACGCTGATCGTGACATGTGATGATCCTACGAGGACAGCACTGATCGTGACATGTGATGATCCTACGAGGACAACACTGATCTTGACAGGTGATGATCCTACGAGGACAATACTGATCGTGACAGGTGATGATCCTACGTGGACAACACTGATCGTGACAGGTGAAGATCCTACGAGGACAACACTGGTAGTGACAGGTGATGATCCTACGAGGACAGCACTGACCGTGACATGTGATGATCCTACGAGGACAGCACTGATTGTGTCATGTGATGATCCTACGAGGACAACACGGATCGTGACATGTGATGATCCTACGAGGACAACACTGATCCTGACAGATGATGATCCTACGAGGACAACACTGATCGTGACAGGTGATGATCCTACGAGGACAACACTGGTCGTGACAGGTGACGATCCTACGAGGACAACACTGGTAGTGACATGTGATGATCCTACGAGGACAACACTGATCGTGACAGGTGAAGATCCTACGAGGACAACACTGGTAGTGACATGTGATGATCCTACGATGACAACACTGATCGTGACAGGTGATGATCCTACGAGTACAACACTGGTCGTGACAGGTGATGATCCTACGAGGACAACACTGATCGTGACATGTGATGATCCTACGAGGACAACACTGTACAAGTTTAGAGCTATTTGATATCAATGTTGCACTCTTTTCAATTTTAGGACAATTTGACCAACCGCAAAAGACGAAAGGCTATCAGCACGTGCCAAGTATTCCTGTTTCTCACGGGGAACCAATTAGCAAGGTCAAGGGACGATATACACATGCATGTTCATCACGAACGGAACCACGACTTGAAAAAGAGAAAACCATGCAAGAAATTCTTAAGCTCGGAGAGGAGACACAGTACTACAAGGGGAGACAACGACTGTTTGATGACGAAAGGGAAATATCCAAGCTTAAGAAAGAGAAGCTTAAAATAGAGATCGAGATTCTCGAAAAACAATTGCTTTGTCATATCAAACAGACTCACTACTGACTGATGGAATGTACTGAAAAGGTAAACATGGCACGATTTGATTTAGATATTGTTGATATAATGTTGGTGTAGGTTATTGACGTTTTATACCCGGTATAATATTCAAAATGTATTCAAAATTAAATAAAGTGGCCGCATAGTGTCCAAAAAATATCATTTCTGAAAAATCTTTCTCGTTTTCATTTTCTGAACGGGATGCTCACGATGCATAGCACTATATGGACCAATTCATTCATTCTTAGTTTACTTTTGGCATTTCCGGTACTGTTAAAACATTTGTAATACATGATGAAACACATAGCCACTAACAATAAGAAGGATAATGAGGATTTAAGCCTAAAAGGGGTGAAAAATAAGCACATGTTTCTTTCTGTATATTATGTGTAAACATATTTAAATGATGAAGAACAAATCAAAGTCAAAGGCTACCAATGAAAATGATTTGAGGCGGGCACATTATACAACCGCAGTGAAAACATCCAAAACAATATTGCTTTCCTTGCTATCGCCGTACATGGTATGCTCATTTGTGTGTTGTTTACGTCGTGAAAGGAAACGCCATAGCTATGGACTTTGTCTGTCACTAAATACTGTCTCTCAATGAAATATCAATGTGAATATGATATCCAAAAAGTCAGCAAAACCAACCACACACACACACACACACACACACTTCCACATACACGTACACCCACACCCACCTACTCACATACAATAAAGAAGAACAACTTGTTGTGACAGAATCCAGATAAGTATCAAAATTAAACATATTGGTAATTTCCAGAAAACTGGGATAGAAAAATGGCAGTTCGGAATACTGAAACATTTGTGTTTTGTATATACATGTACGCGTACAAAGATCTAATTATTCCTCCGAGAAGCTGTGTAAGTTAGATTCGCGGGTTCCTGACCCATAAAACAGACGATCTAGCATACACATCATATTATCAGTGTTCGTTACGGTATGATGTAGGATGGGACTAGTGAAAAGCATTACGAAAACAATAGAAGTGTCTGTGATGTGTATATCGAGGAACAAAAGCTTTGGATTGCACCGCGTGTCCACAATAAGGAGCGAAAAATATACAATATGGATTAACAACCCTGTTATGTTTTTACAGTCCTACACTTTAGTGCTTCAAACTCAACAAATAGGCTAAGGATCGATTTACCACTTAAAAACGACAAGACGTATCCGAGTACATTTTGTAGCTACATATTGTTTACTTCAAATGGCACAACATCAGTTTGGTGTACTCCACAATAACGGAATAATAACAAAATACGTACCTACTATTTCGTCTAGTGTATAGCAAAATCGATATGCCAGCACATGTAATTTTATCTTATAGGAAATGTTGACACAAAGCTTTCATCTTATTGACAGACCATTACCTTTTTATTCTCCACTCAAAATACCATCTTTAGTCCGTAATGTTTACTCGATAAGGGCACATAATCAGTTCTGTCGTTAGGTATGACAAATTCCTGTTAATATCACTGGAAATTAAACCTGCTTACATTGCGCTGCTAACAGCCTAAGCTCGTCTGTAAGGGGACCGCCTTTGGTAAACTGGAAACAGTTTTTGGGTGTAATTGCAGTCATATTAATGCCTATTTTCGTGATAAATTTTACAGAATACACTTTGTATGTCTTCTTTACTGTCTTGCCTGTCTCTAGGCTTACACAATAAATGAAAAGAAAAAAAGCATTGTATATGATGAATGGTGAAACCCTAGCATATATCATTATCGCTTACGTCATAACATCGAAGTGTCTGCTATTGTGTCTAATTAGCGTATTGAAGCGAGGCTGCCTGCAAATACGCCAAAACCATCAAGCTACAAGGATGGAATAAAACCGCACGTATGCTTTGTAATACTACATATATGCCTATGTAATTTATTTTGTTTCATTATAGTTTAACAGCCCGTTGGCATTACAGTTCGAATAAGCGAGTTGTTAAATAAAATTCCTTTCTTATCTGCCATGAATTCTATAGTTCTTAGAGGAACAGCCAAAGGTGCAGGTTAATATCGAAAGATTTCTTTATTTCGGAAAAACATCGATACAACCGGTCAATAGTTAAAAACGAAAGCTGCACATTCCCAATCTCTCGATAAACTACATCCCCCCAATAATAGTGTTTCCGTCTATTGATTAACTGTATCCCTACAACAATGATGTCTTCGTATTTCGGTATACCGTATCCCTCCAATAATGGTATCTCCAATTCTAGATACACTGGATAATTTGAACAATGACGTCTTTATCTCTCTACCAGCTGCATCCTTCCTATGATGGCGTCTCCAACTCCCGATACACTTTATAATTTTGTCTCAGATTTTGGATAAACTACCTCCCTCCAACAATCGTGTCTCAATCTGTCAATAAACTACATCCCTATCTATAATAAAAAAAAGTATTTTTCGATACACTATATAATCATGTAATGAATGTTCGATTTCTTCACAGCTTCTCCATCTATCGATCAACAGTAGCCTTCCTATATAGACGTGTCCATCTTTCGATACCTGCAACCCTCCAATGTGTACGTCTCTCGACCCACTATATATCCCCTGTACTGAATGTTCATGTTCTCTCTTTGACTCTCTTTATCCTCAAGTAATGGTGTCTCAATCTTTCGATAAACTCTATCCCTCAAATAATGGTGTCTATTTCTCTGGCTACACTCAATCCTTCCAATAGTATTTCCTCCATTTCTGCATTAACTACATCCCTCTAAAAACGGTGACTCCAATTATCGATGCACTGTATCTCTCCAATGCTGATATCGTGGTCGCATCCCTCCAGTACAGTAAATTTGTCTCCGTCTCCAGATATACTGCAAGTCATCCAATAATTGTGTCGCAATCTCCCAAAACTCTGCATCCCTCCATTGATCATGTTTTAAAATCTCGATCTTTCAATCTCTCGATACACCACATTCCTCAAAGGAAGGTGTCATCATGTCTATATATTTACATTTGCATGGCATTGTCACTATATAGCCTCTTTGAAAGCTGTGTCGTTGATGGGACTTTGATTACCATGCACCACGAGACACAATTCTTAGAGAATTAATACAACACTGACCGGAACTACAATATCCAATATAAATAAACATAACAGCTGCTGAAATATCGCTGGGCATTGTGAGATTTGAAAATGTCATTGTAAATGTATGTGCAAAATAAAAAATAAAATCTTTTATTACAACGAAAACAAGACCAAGGTCTGCAATATCGTACAAAATGCACATCGGTTGAAATCACCAATGCTGGCAATGGAAACAATTTTAACACTCATGCAATTTATCAGAAATAACGTCTGTTACACTGCACTGATCAACAGAGGTTCGTTACAAATGTCTGAGATACACATATTCTATAGACCTACTGACACATGTTACAGACCTACTGATATGAGTCACGGCACACATAAACATTTCAGACATGGGTAACGAACCTGTGCTCTGTCGCAAGATTACTCACTTCAAACGATATCAGTTTCACGCGTCTCGCATCCACGGTTCCTCAGTTTCTGACGACATGTCAAACAACGAGGCTGTTATATAATCTACCGACTGTTGTCAGGTTCCCATACAATCAACAAATAAATTCACGCCTGGATTCTTCACAAAATGAGCAAAGAGAAAAGTTCGAATAAACTTCCAAAAATAACTCCCTAGGTCGGATTTACGGTGTTCACTGTATTTTGTCCATGCGCGAAATTTGTTCCGGGGGGAAATCGAAACAATTTCAAATCTAACTTTCAGCTCAGAGTTCTATTGATAAACTTAAATCACCCTATCGACATGCCATACGCAATTGTATTGTTACTGAATTGTGGAATAAAATTGAAGTGTTTGTTAAAATTTCAAAGTACTACTTTGTTTGCCAATCAGCACGCGACAATATGTGTGGACTGTCGATAAGGCGGGAATTTTTGATTTAAAATATAAGCTATAAGTTAAAAAAAGAACATAAGAGGCAGAGAAAACGTAAATATAAGTATTGAACTGTTTTTGTATGGTATTTATGATCTATTTGAATGTCACAGCTTTGCAAGCAAACAAATCATAATGCGCGCTTAGATACTGCATCATTCCAATAACGGCGTCTCAAACTCTCGATACATTGAGGTACTCCATTAATGGCTTTAATTAAGTCCATTTCTCGATACCCTATGTCCGGCCCTTCTGCTTTCGATCCACTGAATCTCTGAAATACTGAATGTTCAAGTTCTCCCTTTGACTCACTTCATCCTTTCAGGAATTATGTCTCAAACCTATGATGAGCCTCTATCGTTCAATACACTAGAATCATGGGATACATGTGTGTCCATCTCTCCATACACTACAACCCTGGGATAAATGTGTGTACATCTCTCGATACACTACAACCCTGGGATAAAATTGTGTACATATCTCGATACATTACAACCCTGGGATAAAAGTGTATACACTTCAATATACACTTCAACCCTTGGATAAAAGTGTGTACATCTCTCGATACACTCCAACCTTGGGATACAAGTGTGTCCATCTCACGATACACTACAACCCTGGGATACAAGTGTGTACATCTCTCGAAAGACTACAACCCTGGGATACAAGTGCGTCAATCTCTCGATACACTACAACCCTGGGATACAAGTGTGTACATCTCACGACAAACTACAACCATGGGTTAAAAGTGTGTTCATCTCTCGATACACTACAACCCTGGGATACAAGTGTGTACATCTTACGATACAAAACAACCCTGCGATACAAGTGTGTCCATCTCACGATACACTACAATCCTGGGATACAAGCGTGTCCATCTCTCGATACACTACAACCCTGGGATACAAGTGTGTCCGCTTCACGTTACACTACAACCCTGCGATGCAAGTGTATCCATCTCACGATATACTACAACCCTGCGATACAAGCGTGTCCATCTCTCGATACACTACAACCCTGGGATACAAGTGTGTCTGCCTCACGATACACTACAACCCATTTGATACAAGTGTTTCCGTCTAACGATACACTAAAACTCTGCGATACAAGTGTGTCCATCTCTCGATAC